CTGCAATACATGGGGTTGCCATGAGTCAGAATTGAATTGATGGCACTTAACTTAATTATATAATACACACACACACACACACACACACACACACACACACACACACCCTCGTCCCCCTCCCCCCCTCTGGGTGTGGCACTACCACTCCTCCTAACAACAACAAAACTGTGCATGTATGTTGTTGTTTTTGAGTGCTGTGGAGTCGGTTCTGATTCATGGTGACCCTGTATAAGGTTTCCAAGGTGGAGCTGGTGAGTTTGAACCGCTGACCTTTGCAGTTCAAACGGACCTTGAAGTCCAGTGCTTATCCTATGCCACCGCACCAGGACTCCATATATAAATACATATGTTGTTGTTTTTTAAGTGCTGTGGAGTCGGTTCCGACCTATAGCGACCCTATATAGGGTTTCTGAGTAGCAGCTGGTGAGCTTGAACCTCCGACCTTGAGGTTCAAACCGACTTTGCAATGCAGCGCATTAACCCACAGCGCCAGAGAGGTTTTAGTTAGTTAGTTTTGTAGTTAAGGAAGCTAAGCCTGGGGATGCTGTCAGTAGAAGGGCCCACCTTCGCCTCTAAAAAAAAGCGCAAAACCAAAGGTGCGCTGCTAGCCCCACAGGAAGTAGGGTCTGGGCTCCATGTTGCCAGCTCTTCACCCCTAGCCTCTGAATTTCAACTCTGGTTGTATTCCTTCCATGGGGTTGAACAAACATGATTTCCCGCGCCCCCCCCCGCGTGGCTCCTAAGTGCTAGGCATCTTTACCTATCCTGGTGTGGCGCTGTGGGTTAATGCGCCAGACTGCAAAGTCGTTTGAACTGCAAGGTTGGTGGTTCAAGTTCACCAGCTGCTCTTTGGAAACCCTATACTGGGTTGCTATGGGTCGGAATAGACTCAACAACACTTAACAACAACTAAACCCCAATCTCCCCAGTCTAGAAGGACACACTAAGACCTAGGTTTGGGGTTACTGAGAAGATTGAGTTCTTATTTTAATACAAGTTCATAAAATCTTTGTGCCTGCAGACTGCTCCCCCCAACTCTCCTCTCAACAAATAAGTGACATTTATTACTTGCCATCCTACCAAGTGGGGCTGGGATTCTCCCTTCAGCCCTGCTGGAGCACTGTGTGGAACGCAGTGTCACCCACCCCTCCGGGATCCACTCTTGGAGAGTCTCACGGGGAGCCAGCGGGTCCTGGTTTCCTTTTTCTAGGCCTCTCCGCCTCGCTGTGGGGCATCCGCAGTTAGCCGACCGGCAAAGGCAGTGCTCCTGGTTCCGCCCTTGTGCCTGATTATCTGTTTCCGCGTCAGGCCCGTGGAGAACTTGGCAACCCTTCCTGCTGTGTTCGAGAACACTTTGTGCCATGAGCCTGCCCGCCCGCCGGGCCCTCCTCCCACTCGCCGGCCCGCTGGGCCAGGACGCTCCGCACAGCCGGGGATAGAGTCGTTTGGCCTGAATACCTGCACTCGAGCGCAGCGGCGGGGCCCCCACGCACTTGCCCTCGATTCCGCCGAACCTGGGCCCCACAGGTCGCTCCGTGCCCACTAGCTGAGCGTTTAAACCTGCGTCCGCACGTAATTGAGAGGTTCAGAAAGATGCTATGGCCCATTTTAAAACAAAGCCCAATTATTAGCTCTCATTGACTGTTTAGGGTCAGATCCTCTTCGCGCTGCCAGCAACTAGTGGCAAAGGAAGCGCGGTCGGAGAGCAACGAAATCGGCTCTAGAATCAATCCGTCCAGTCCTGGCTGCTTGAGATCAGGCAAAGCACCGGGGTTCAGCCTTCTCTTCCGTGAAATGGGAATAAGTGTGCGTAGCCACGCCGCCAGGCTGGGCGAAATGAATCAGCACCTGGAGAAGGTAGTGGTCGCAGAGATGTCGGGGGCGGGGGGAGGTGGGGGTCCAACGGCGTGCCTGTGGAGCGCACACCACCAGGACCTACCTTCCCGCGGCCTCCGCCCCGCCCCGGCCACCCTAGCTGCACGCGCGGGCGCTGGATCCAAAGTGCGTCACGGGCACCGGTCGCGCTCCTCGGGCGGCCAGGGCGAGGCTGGCGCAAGGCCAGCGCGGGTCGGGCCGTCTCCGGGGTGGGGACCCAGGCGTGGAAGCCGGTCAGGTTGCTCGGCCTGCAACGCGCTGTTGGGGGCGACCTCAGCGGTGGGCAGCGTGCCAGGGACCGGCCTCGACAGTCTAGGGGCGCAAAGGCTACTCTTTCCCTTTTGCCCCCCTCGCTTCCTCCTGCGCCGCTTCGGCGGCGTTTTCTTCCCAGGGAAACTACGCTGATCCTACCCGGGACTCCTCGCCCCGCCCCAGTTCTCCGCCCCCTCCCCTTGACTGGTTAGCCCCAGCTGACCACGCCGGGGAGAAGCACCCACAACTAGGTGAGGAACCGGAGTGGGGCTACCAAGCCTTGAAGACCAACTCGCCTAGCCATGTGACAGTACCCTCTGACCAGCGACCCCCCGCGAGTCCCGCATCATGCTCCTGCGGGGAATCGAGCGCCGGTCTCTCGCGCCCCAGACGTCTCAGCATCCCGGCCTCCGTCGGCAGGTAGAGCCACCCGGGCAGCTCCTGAGACTCTTCTACTGTACTGTCCTGGTCTGCTCTAAAGAGATCACAGCGCTCACGGACTTTTCCGGTAAGGGCCACCTCCCTCCCGGTGCGCCCCGGGGACGGGGCGGGGGGGGGGGGGCATGGCAAGGTTGGATTAAAGTTGGAGCGCACTCATAGTTATTTTTGTTTGTTTGTTTTTGCCTTGTGTGAGCCCTTGGCATACATAGCTGGTTGTTTGTGGGGTGGCGCCGGCAGGAGAGCTCCTAGAAGGGAAGGGTAAATAACGTGTTTGGAGTTTCTTGCTCAGAAGTTGATCTCGCTAATTTCCCTGCACCAGTACCTCGGACACAACTGGTGGCGAAAGCTTGTCCGCTGGATGCTCCTAGAGCTGAGCCAGCACCGCGCCCAATGCTGTAAAATACACGTGTTGTGATCCAAAGAGTCGCACTTGGTTGCGCCCCGTCTGACGTTCTGGGTGCCCATGTAAGGGAGACGTGTCCTATGTACAGCTGACTTGAAGTCTGCGCCGGTAGGCGGGATGGGACGCTAGTGGGTACCCTGGTCTGGTAGCAATGCGGTGACAGATGAGGAAACGCTTACAGAAGTGAGAGGAGGCTTGGGGCCCTGCCCTGACTTTACCGCCAGTACGTACCAACCTCACCTCTCCAGTTCCAGTCTTCTTTAACAAAACAATAGTGGGGCTTTTCTTTAGGGGACACAGACCAAGACTCCCGCAACTGATCCCTGGTAGTTATAGGGTTGCAGGTGCGGTGATGGAAAGTGAAAAAAACTTTCTGGGTTGTTGATGGTTAGAGAGCAACATTCTTTTAGTTAGTGGTGCGATTGTTTGGATAATAAACGTCCTTACAACGAACTGTAACAGACCTGGGTCTCTCTCTGGCAAGGCTGGACGCCTTCACCGTTCTCCAGTCCAGCCCAGCCTCAGAAGCAGCCCTGAACTACAAGTTCCCCTCCTCCAGGGACCTTCTGCCAAGTCTAGGCTTCGCATAGCCCCCTGCCCCCTCCTTTCACAATGCAGGGTCTTTTGCAATATAATCATGGTAAATGAGTCACTCCCAGCCCTGTTTGTACAGTAGACTAGTACAAGGCAGAAAACACTGACAAACCAGAAGCTAAATTGGGCTTCTAGTTTACTTACAGAGAATGTCATTGTTAGCTGAGAGCCCTTAGGTCAGAGGTCTTTTGCTTTGAATATTTAATACCAAGGCAGTGTTCCCACATGGCAAAGGAAGCCAAGATATGCCTATTTGGCAAGCAAATTGGAGCCCTTAGAATCAAGTACCACAGGTCAGAACGTTGTGATAAATGCACTAGAGAAATACATTGGATTTTTCAAGTGCTATTGACTTTTCATTTTAATAGAATGTTCATGACTGCAAAAAGTTCAGTATTTGCTGATTTGAGTTTGGAGAACAGCTGTGAACTCAGAGGCACCTTCTTGCACTAAGTACTGTAAGGAAACAATTGAAAGCTGACAAGCCCTTTTTGATGACATCATTCCAACTGAACAAATATTGCTTTAGGTCAATTGTGGTGTAACCATGAGTTTGCTGTCACAGATTAGAGACACTTAGGGTTTGTTTCTTCAGTGAAGCAGTTGTCATATTTGTAGCACCCTATGTTGTTGTTGTTGTTGTTAGGTGCTATCGAGTCGGTACCGACTCATACATATCAACCTTATGCACAGCAGAACGAAACACTGCCCGATCCTGGGCCAACCTCACTATCATTGCCACGCTTGAGCCCACTGATGCTGCCACTTGGCCAATCCATCTCACTGGAGGTCTTCCTCTTTTTCTCTGACCCTCCATCCTACCAAACATGATATTCTTCTCCAGCAACTGGTTCCTCCTGACAATATGTCCAAAGTATGAGAGACGAAGTTTGGCCATTTTGGCCTTCAAGGAGCAGTCTGGCTGCACTTTTTCCAACACAGATCTGTTTGTTCTTTTGGCAGCCCTTGGCACTTTCAATATTCTCCTCCAACACCATAACTCAAAAGCATCAGTTCTTCTACGATCTTCCTTATTCACTCTCCAGCTTTCACATGCATATGAGGTAATTGAAAATACCATGGCTTGGGTCAGGCACACCTTAGTCCTCAAGCTGACATCTTTGTTCTTCAACACTTTAAAAAGGTCTTGTGCTGCAGGTTTGCATAATGCAATACGTCATTTGATTTCTTGACTGCTGCCTCCATGAGTGTTGATAGTTGATCCAAGAAGAATGAAGTCCTTGACAACTTCAATCTTTTCTCCCTTGATAAGAATGTTGATTATTGGTCCAGTGGTGAGGATTTTTGTTTTCTTGACATTGAGATTTAATCCATACCGAAGGCTGTGCTCTTTGATCTTTATCAGTAAATGTTTCACATCCTCTTCACTTTCAGCAAGCAAGGTTGTATCATCTGCATATCACAGGTTGTTAATGAGTCTTCCTCCAATCCTGATGCCATGTTTTTCTTCATATAACCCATGTTCTGTTCGAACAACTGCTTCTTGGTCCGGGTACAGATTCCTCATGAACACAATTAAGTGTTCCAGAATACTCATACTTCGCAATGTTGTTCATAACTTGTCATGTTCCACACAATCGAAAGCCTCTGCGTAGTCAATAAAGCACAGGTAAATATCTTTCTGGTATTCTCTGCTTTCAGCCAAGATCCATTGGACATCAGCAATGATATCCCTCATTCCATGGCCTCTTCTGAATCCGGCTTGAACCTCTGGAAGTTCTCTGTCAATGTATGCTTGTAGCCATTTCTGTAATACTTTTGGTAAAACTTTACTCTCATGGAATATCAAAGATATTGTCTGATGAGTTCCGCATTCCATTGGGTCACCTCTCTTTGGAATGGGCACAAATATGGATCTCTTCCAATCAGTCAGCCAGATAGTTGTCTTCCAAATTTCCTAGCCTATGCTGCCTCATTTTCTTGAAATATTTCAATTTTAATCCATCAATTCCTGGTGCCTTGTTGTTTGCCAATTCCTTCAATGTACCTTGGACTTCCTCCTTCAGTATCACTGGCTCTTGATCATATACTACCTCTCAAAACAGTTGAATACCAACCATTTCCTATTGGTACAGTGACTCTGTGTATTCCTTCCATCTTCTTTTAATGCTTTCTGCATCATTCAATGATTTGCCAAGAGAATCCTTCAATAACGGAAGTCCTTCAGTTCCCCTGGCTTGAGAAATGCTGAGCGTGTTCTTCCTTTTTGGTTTTCTGACTCCAGATCTTTGCACATTTTATTGTAATATTTGACTTTATCTTCTCAAGCTGATCTTTGAAATTTTCTGTTCAGATCTTGTACCTTCTCATTTCTTCCATTTGCTTTAGCATTGCTGTGCTGGAGAGCAAATTTCAGTGTCTCTTCTGACATCCATTTTGACCTTTTCCTTCTTTCTTGTCTTCTTAATGACTTTTGGCTTTCTACTTGTATGATGTTCTTTTTGTCATCGGTCTTTAGTGTTTAATGTATCAAATCTGTTCTTCAGATGAGCTCTAAATTCAGGTGGAATATATTCAAGGTCATATTTTGGCTCTCGTGGACTTATTTTCATGTTCTTCAGCTTCAGTTTGAATTTGCATATGAGCAATTGATGGTCTGTTCCACAATCTGCCCCTGGCCTTGTTTTGACTGATGATATGGAACTTCTCCATCGTCTCTTTCCGCAGAGGTAGTCAATTTGATTTCTATGTATTCTGTATGGCAAGGCCCATGTGTATCTTATGCTGTCTAAAGAAGGTATTTGAAATGAACAAATCATTGATTTTGCAGAATTCTATCATGCTACCTCCAGCATCATTTCTATCACCAAGGCCATAGTTTCCAACTACTAATCCTTCCTCTTTGCTCTCAACCTTTGCATTCCAATCATCGATAATGATCAATACATCATGATTGCATGTTTGATCAATTTCAGATTGAAGAAATTGGTAGAATTCTTCTATTTCATCCTCACTGGCTTTAGTGGTTGCTATGTAAACTTGAATAATAGTGGTATTAACTGGGCTTTCTGTAGGTGCATGGATATTATCCTATCACAGACAGCATTTTATCTCATGACTGATCTGGATTTTTTTTTTTTTTTTTGTAATGAATGCAACACCATTCCTCTTCAATTTGTCATCCCAGCATAGTAAGCCATGTGGTTGTCAGATTCAAGATGGCCAATACCAGTCCATTTCGGCTCACTAATGCCTAAGATATGGATGTGTTCCATTTTATTTTTGACAGTTTCTCATTTACCTAGATTCGTACTTCATACATTCTGTGTTCTGATTATTAATGGATGTTTACAGCTGTTTCTCATCATATTGAGTTGTGCTCCATCAGCAAATGAAGGTCCCGAGGGCTTTACTCCCACAGGCTTTACTCCATTCGCGTCATCACGGTCAACTCTACTTTGAGGAAGCAGCTCTTCCCCAGTTGCAATTTGAGTGTCTTCCAACCTGAGGGTCTCATTTTCCAGTACTATATCTGGCAGTGTTTTTCTGTTATTCATAAAGTTTTCGGTGACTAAATATTCAGAAGTAGTTCGTCACTCCTTCTTCCTAGTCTGTCTTCATCTGGAAGCTCATCTGAAACCTGTCCACCATGGGTGACCCTGCTGGCATTTAAAATACCAGTGGCATAGCTTCCAGAATCACAGCAACTCACAAGCCACCACAGTACAACAAACTGACAGATGTGTGGTGGTAGCACCTTGTAGATTACCACAAAAATCTGGAATTGTCAGTTTGTGCAGCTATCAAAGCAAACCAAATCCAGTCAGTTGCTCTGGGGCCCATTCCATATCCTGGTTACCCTAGATGTGTCAGAGTAGAACTAACTCCAGAGAGTTTTCAATGACTGTGATCTTTCAGAAATAGATTGCCAGGTCTTTCTTCTGAGGTGTTTTGGGGCAGATTCAAACTGCCAACCTTTCAGTTGGTAGCTGACCACTTAATCCAGGGACTGCTGGAATTATCAGCCAGGCTATATCCTTAGGGAAATAGATGCTTTGATGTATGTTCTTAGAAATCACATATGATAACAGAATTCCTTCTGCTTTCCA